CCCCCATCTCTCTGATTTGCTACAACTGTATGTCCCACCACGTTCCCTGAGGTCAGCGGACCCGTTGCTCCTCACAGTTCCAGGAACTCGTCTTAAGCGCAGAGGTAACTCGTCTTAAGCGCAGAGGTGACAGGGCCTTCTCTGTAGCAGGACCAAGACTTTGGAACGAGTTACCTCTGCTTGTCAGAAAGGCCCCCTCCCTCTTGGTTTTCGAGTCTCGTTTAAAAACTCACTACTATTCAGTAGCTTTCAACACCAGATGATCTGTATTTTGATCCTGTATGCTCCACACTGGTTTGTCGTCATTATCTGCATCGTTTTTATGTCTATATTCTGATTTACCTCATTTTGTATTTTGCTTTGTGTGTTACCTGTTGTTTTGTCTGTACAGCACTTTGGTTGGCCTTGTTGCTGTTTTAAGTGCTTTATAAATAAAGTGGTATGGTATGGTATTGAAGTCGTCCGTAAATAGTGTTTGTTTGTGCAGTTTCTAATGTTGCTCTTCATTACAGGGAGAATGTGCAGAGTGCAGAAGTTGGTGCCATATTTGACAGGTAGTCTTCCACATTTCCAACAAAGTTTTGTTCTTAACAACTACATATGTAAATCTTCTGCTTGTGATTTATACTGAAACTTTTTGTTGAAAATAACAGGGTTCTTACTGAGCTTGTTAACAAAATGAGAGATATGCAAATGGACAAAACAGAGCTGGGCTGTCTCCGTGCGATAGTCCTGTTTAACCCAGGTAGCATCATTTCTTTCTTTACATAAACTAAAATGATTGTTTGTTGTTTATTCCCTGTTTAAAACACTGCTCTGATATTCCTGTCAGATGCGAAAGGACTCTCCAGCACAACGGAGGTGGAGCTGCTTAGAGAAAAGGTCTATGCATCACTGGAAGCTTATTGCAAACAGAAGTATCCAGAGCAGCAGGGAAGGTAAACGTGCTCAGCTGTGACGAGCTTTGATAACTGGTCAGATGCATTTGTTGACAAAAGAATGGGGGAAAAACAACTATTTTCTCTGCAGGTTTGCTAAGCTCCTCCTCAGACTGCCAGCGCTACGATCCATTGGCTTGAAGTGCTTGGAGCATCTTTTTTTCTTCAAACTGATCGGTGACACGCCAATTGACACGTTCCTCATGGAAATGCTCGAAGCCCCCCATCAGTTGTCTTAGATTGGAAATGTGTACTGTGGTTTTAGAAAGAGTCTGGAGTCTGGGAAGTGAGCGTGGGACTGGAGTGGCACTTTTTTCTTCTAAGATTTGTCAGTTTGTCTCACCGCTGTCTGCGTTACACTTTAGCGCAGCACAGATTTGCTCTTTAGACCAAACCCAAGGCTTGGCATGATCTATAAGCTGGTGCTATATGCTGTCATACCTTCACAAGTAACTATAATAAAAACAGTTATTTTTCATGACATTTTACAAAACTGTCTCACAAAAGCTATAATTTGGGTACTCATTTTTATATAAACTTTTTAAACTCCAAACTTCACCCCCTTTTTAATTCTAGAGGGCATCTTGAATTGTGAGCATGCAGTAAAGATGCAAGCTTTTATTTTTTAAATAAATGGTAATTAAAGCCAGATCTAACAGTGCATCGTTGTGTCAGTCCTGCACAGCAACCCGAACCCTGGACAACATGACCGATTGAAATGATCCAGCCTCGCTCATCTGTGTTGATTTAGGATCAGCTTTGTGTGTTAGTAATAATTAGTGTTTACATCCTTTCTTTAAAAAAAAAAAAAAAAAAAGATCCAACATTTGCAATGTACCATTTTCAAAATATACTTTAAACACTTGGCTTCTGAGTGTTCAGGAGTTTGTCTCGTGGTGCTAGTTCAGAAAACAACTGATATGATGGGTGAGGTTGCACACCAAACTACAAACCTAAGAATATATGCAAAAACGAAGAGTTCCTTTGTTTAAAATGTAGCAATATAAGATGACAAACTGCATAAGCCTATTGTGAATTCAGGGGTTTTACAAAAGAAACCATGTCCAGTGGAAAGGGAAGACTCGTTTTTTGTAATTTATCTATACAGCTACTAGGTACTGTGCAAAAGTAATTGTTCAGGGAAAGCGCACATAGAAAAATTTTGATTAATCAGGAAATACAAATGAGATTATGGTGTGCTCATGCTTATCAGTTTCAGATAGAATAAAGCAGATTGGTTGCACTGGATTTGCTGAGACTGGCTCGGCCAACTTTTTTTTAATTTGATGCTCATTTGTAGTTCCTACGCTTCCCGCCTTGCTTCTTCACAATGAGCTTTCTTCTCTTTATTCAAGGCAAACTTAATTGCATTTAGATCCATAATACTTGGACATATGACTATCCTAATCAAGACCACATGAGCTTTGTGTGACGTCCACATGGAAACGCCACACAAACCATACGGTGTGATTGTCGTCAATGCTCTTCAACGTAAAGTGACTTAAAGCGGGGTTTGTGGATTGAAAGAATAAAGCTTATATGTTTTGCTTGCTTTTTCTTCTTTCACAGTGTCACATTAATTTTTTATTTTTTTTTCCCCTCAGAAGAAAGTGTCACTTTTTGACAAACCAATGCAATTGAAGGACAATTAAAAGAAAGTCAAAAAGTGTTTTGATGAGCCTTTTTATTCGAACTTGCACAGACGATGTGGCCGTAGGAGCGAGAAGCCTCAGTGGATTATGGCACAGGCAGCAGTTTGTAATGGGCTGAGGAGAAAATATGATGCGTTTGCTGCTAAATTTAATTATTTGACCAAAAAAAAGGTTCAAAGTGCACATAAGTCTTCCAGCTCTGAGAATCAATGTGAATCTCTTTGTATCAAGCAGAGGTGATGCTTTTAAACCATGCATGGCTGACTTTTCTTAAATTAGAATAACACTGCGTTTAGACTGTAATACACTTTACCACAAGAAGGAGAGGAAAAAAAGATGTACATTATACAGCATTTCCGTACATTTCTTATTGTTCCTAATATCCAGTCCAGTCCTGGTATCTTCATTTGTGTGGGATGCTACGTGTTGAGTCTTAAGGTGCTGATTCAGTTCCAGTAAATTCTTACAGAATGTAGTGCTGGTGCCATTCTACTTGAACACTACGCGTACATGTTTTTCCTCTTAACTCCGTCACAGTGAAGCTTTGTTTGAAATTCAGTCAGAATGAGTTAAAGCTCAAAACTAGATGGAACAACGGAGTTAAACGGGCTCAGTTCACAATACAGATGCACATTTTGTTTAAAACAAAAGTTATCCATATACATCACAAATCTAATGTTTGTAATTATATTGTACTGTGCAAAAGGCTTGAGCCACCCCTCATTTAAAAAAAATATATATATTTTGCTACAAAAAATGGGTACATTCAAACATAACCATACGGTTTGTGTGGCAAAATGAATTCTAAGCTTGAATATCAGTTTAATCATTTGATCACATCACAGTGAGATCAAACACTTTCACACCGCAACTATTTGTGAATTTCTTTTGGTACTCTTGTGGAATAGTTCTCCAGGCTGCTAGAAGCTGTTTTCTTACATGTTTTGTCCTTCAGTGACGCTGAGGTTCAGACCAGCCCAATGCTGAGATTGTTGTTGTGTGCTTGTTTTCATACTGGTAAGACTGGACTGCACTGGTGCTGTCTTTATGAAATGCCATTCTGAAAAATGAAGCTATCGGTCACGTCAAGATGGTCCCACTGGTCTGTTAGGCATCCTAACAACAAACAAACACTAGGCTGACTCAGTTGGTAGAACAGTTGCCTCTCTGCGAGAAGGTTGCCGGTTGAAATCCCGGCCCGGGGCCTTTCTGGGTGGCGTCTGCATGTTCTCTCTGTGCATGCGTGTTTTCTCCGGGTACTCCGGTTTCCCCCCCACAGATCTATTGAAAAATAACTAACTTGTCCCTAGATGAGAGCGAGAATGTCTCGTTTGTCTCCATGTGTCCCTGTGATGGACAAGTTGCGACCTGTCCAGGGTGACTCCCACGACCCAAAAAAGGAAGAAGTGGGTAAAAGATGATGGATGAAAATGAGAAGGAAACCAGTAAAGGAATAACGAGTATCTGGAGAACTGTTGCTCAAGATCACTTTACATTTACTTAGTCTCTGCTTTGAGGCAAAATATAAATGATGGTTGGCGACTTTTGTATGTTATTGTCTTCATATTTGTAAAAAAAAAAAAAAAAACCTCCAGCACGTCTTTAGTCCTAAAACGATGTTTGAATCTAAAACACTGAAATATTATCCTCACAGATCACACACCTGTGACTACATGTCCCTGAAAACATCTTAATAAATAATGGTCTCAGCAAGGCACTCTGAAATGTGCAGCTCATACAAAACAAACCTTTATAAAGATTGCTCACTGCCCCCACACCGTCAAAGTATTTTCTGCTGTTATGGATCGGAGAATGCAATTCTGAATGTTCTGTCTCTAACTTTTTAAAAACATACACTGGTAAACTTTTCTAATAATTAGTAAACAAATCTTTTTGAATAATGTAATTTAAAAATAAAGCTGTTGAACAGCTGATTATTGATGAGCAGAGGTTCATCAGTGTCAAGGATCACACGTTCCAATGACACCCAACATTTTACATCCAGTGCAATTGTTTATTTTAGCACCTTCTTTAGCAAGATGAAACACAAAAGTACCCCAGTAGTATTTATCAGAAAAACCTTCAGCACAAATCTATTCAATAGACGTAATGTGTTTTAGCTCAGCGTGAAGCTGCAGACAGTCTCCCAAAGGCTCGGTGTCCACCACGCTTCTAGTCCTCAGGGTCGGGTCAAGACCACAGAGACTGAAGAATCAGTTGATGCCCTCCATCCTTGGTCACATGCACCCCCTTCCTCAGTACTGGTCTTCCTGTGTGCGTCACGTTAAGATGGCAACAGTAGAAGCTTTGCGACAACATCTGCGTTCATCCAGCAAAAGCAAAGCTTAGTGGTTTGACTGCAGTGCTCGTTTTCTTGCTCAGCAGTTTATGATTTAAGATTTGGTTCGACGTTTTGTCCTCCTTCAGGAAGCCCATCACCAAACACGTTAGATGAGCTCGACTCATCGCAGCTGGTAGGAGGGTGTTCAACCCAAGCCAGAACGGTTGAGTGGGGTTCCAGTTTGGAGAGGGTGGGGGCAGTGAAAGGGCCTACAGGCGTCTTGATGTCCAGCAGGATCCACATCCGGCTCACACCTGCATCTCTGAACCGCTGGACAAGCCGAGAGCGTTCGCCTCCTCAGTGGTCAGACCGCTCTTCAGAGTCCTCCTTACTGTGGAGCGAAAGAAGAAGAAACAAAATGAAGGGGATCAACTTTTATTTACTTGGTTTTTTTTTACATGCAGCATTAAATAAAAACAAGAAGACTCACGTGATTTCCGGTTTGCTCTGGATCGTCTTCTCTCTCGAGGTTGTGCCCGCTGGCTGGGCCCCTGAGTGGCAGATCGGACGATCCGCTCCATGATCTCGTCAGCTGTGTCGTCTGTGCAGTTTATTGGGTCTTCACTGACAGAGCACCACGGAGCAAGACGTCCTGCAACAGTTAGTTCAAACATACATAATGTAGTGGCAGAATAGACAAGACGAGTAGTTCAGATCCTGAGGGGATGTTCTGTGGAAAGATGAACAGTCTTATTTGTTACAGACATTTGTGAAAAACCTAATTTAGAAAAATAGTTTACAGGACTGAAGAGCTGACTACTTGTCCATCTGGGGCTTAAACCAAAGTGGATTACTGCTGTTTTAAAACTCCGTTCTCAAAACGTTGTGGTTCATGCAGTCACTACGTTATAAATCTTTACATTGCCAATAGTTTCATTTTACTTAATTAACTTAGGGCTAAATAAAGCATCCATTAATTAATTACATGAATATTTCAATAACATTTCTGCAGGAAGTACCAGAAGTTGCACCTGAAGTGCTACAGTTAGATGCTACTGCCGCTATTTGCTCTAGTTGGTTACCACAGAAGTCTAATGTATATATTGTAATTAAAAAAAAAAAAAAATTGAAAGGGAGGCCTGGAACTGAAGGCAGCCTAAATATGCACATTTTTAGACTGATGGAGAAGAACGGAGTACACAGAGAAAACCCACGCAAACATGAGGACATGCAAATTCCATACAGAAAGACCCCAGGTCCAAATCATGGGCTTGAACCCACAACCTTCTATGAGGCAATGGTTTTGTGCTATAAATAATTGTGCAATGCAGAATTAACAGTCATGTACATGTTTATAAAATGGCTGTTGCTTTAAAATGTATAAGGTTAGTATGATTTTAAGATGGCACCTATCCACTTTGGTCACACGTTAGATTAGCCATAATCCAACCAGTCAGAGTTGAGCTTTGTAGCTATCTACAACAGGTAAGATATTTATGATTTTTATACAGCGTCTCTTTAAATATAGAGTAACAGTTTCAAACACAATCTAAACTGTTCTGTTAATCTAAGAAAAGTTAATTATAGGGCATATTTTTGGCACCTTCAAAGTCACTGAATCAGAAAAGTCAAACTTGTTGAAAGTGTTGACACTAAAGATTTACTGATCAGTTGGAGACAACAAAGTATTTCAAGTAATGGTTGTTGTTGCTGTATGGTTAAACTGACTTGATGAAAAGCTCGGGGTTTATTAGAAAAGTAACCAGCACGTGTCTGGATTAGATTGATCCAATCTCTATCCTGAAAGATGATCATTCAAACTGCTGTACTTGTTCATGAGACTGACCCCTGATGGCGCTGGCTCTGGTCCGGGTTCGAAGGCCCGGCACTGTGGACGCGCCGCTCTCCCCGTCCTGCGGGATACTTTTTAATACAGCCTTCATGTTCTCGTGTTCAGCAGCATCTTCAGCAGACTGGATCCCCTGAGGCTGGCTCTCCTGTGCATCTGAGGTGGCACCGCCAAATTTACCACTCTGTGGGGGGGGGAGAAAGAGAAGAGGGGCCCATAACAGAATAATATGACAGGGGGTTGTGTTAGCGGTACAATCAGAGCAGTCATTTCAAACTCGTGACCATTAGTTGTTGCATGCCAACTTTGAACACCAGGAGTCATCTGTAACTTCTCTCAGCACTGCAGGCAACAACATGCAGCCTCCTCTTCCTCCCTCCATGCCTTCAGCTTTGAGACTCACATAAGGGTCACACATTCATCTCAGATTACTCATTAGCTTTGTCAAAATAATTGTTACCATGACATCATATCATCATATCTGGTTAAATTTTAGTTATGAGTTCACGCATTTCTGTTAGCAGACAAACTCACTCCCCTACCTCACTATCATCATCATCATCATCCTCGCTCTACAGAATAAAAAAAAAAAGACAACATAATATAAAATCCTGTGGGTGTAGAGAAGATTTCATTTCTAGTTACATTTCTAAATATTATATCTACTTTTGTTATTAAATGTGATACATTGGTTGAATTTGTTGTTTGAATTTTGTTTCTCGTGAACATTTGTGCTTCCACTCTCCTTATTCTACAAAATATCTTCTAACAATAAATATGATCAAGTCTTTGGCAGATCACTGCTAACACCTTATTGTGTTTATACATCAGATGGAGAAAGGTAGCAGCCTTATGTCGCTGAGCTGCCACTAACGTGTTGACGTGACCAAAGTTATGTTCTCTGATGAAAGTAAAAATTGCATTTCCTTTGGAAATCAAGGTCTCAGAGTCTGGAGGAGGAAAGGAGAGGCACAGAATCCACATTGCTTCAGGTCCAGTGTCAAGTTTCTACAGTTAGTGATGGTTTGGGATGACATGCCATCTGCTGGTGTTCGTCCACTGTGTTTTCTGAGGTCCAAGGTCAACGCAGCCGTATACCAGGAAGTTTTAGAGCACTTCGATGCGTATGTATCCATCAGTCTGTGTCACTGCTCAGGTGTTATTAGAGTCCAGGTTGCTCTGATCGTGGCCTTCAGCTCTTCTGAATTGTTGGGTCTGGTGTTTCACATCTTCCTCTTCATAAAACCCCATAGATTTTCTATGGGGTTATGGTCAGGTGAGTTTGCTGGTCAATTAAAAACAGGGATACCGTGGTCCTTAAACCAGGTACTGGTAGCTTTGGCACTGTGTGCAGGGGCCAAGTCCTGTTGGAAAATGAAATCTGCATCTCCATAATGTTGGTCAGCAGCAGGAAGCAGGAAGCTGCAGTAATCCAGGCTAAAGGAGCAACAACTTAAGTATTGAGTGCTGTACATGCTCATACTTTTCAGTTGGCCAACATTTCTAAAAATTATTTTTTATTATTGGTCTTAAGTAATATTCTAATTTTCTGAGATACTGAATTTGGGGTTTTCATTAATTGTCAGTTACAGGAGCCTCTGGACTAAGACCACCAGGTACCGGGACATCTTCTTCCCCACAGCTGTCACACTCCTGAACTCTGCCTCCTGACATCTGGACAACAACAACACATGGACTGAAACACCACCACTCGCACTTTCATCTGTTAGCCCACTGCTGTACATACTGTACACATAATCTACTACCTACTGTTCATAAGAACTCACATACTTATTTATATTTTTCTTTTATATAGTTTGTTCATATCCCTTCATATTTATAACCTGTTTATAGTCTGTACACTCATAACCTGTATATATTTATACTTGTAGCATATTCAAAACAACTTACTGTATATTGTAATATATATACTTTTTTGTTTTTTTTGCTAAGCACTTCTGGACGGATGCAAACTGCATTTTGTTGCTTTGTACTTGTGACGTACAATGGCAATAAAGTTGAATTATTTTCTATTCCTATAACCATCAACAATAAAATAAATAAACATTTGAAATATCAGTCTGTGTGTAATGAATGAATATACAAGTTTCGCTTTTTGAATGAAATTACTGAAATAAATAAACATTTTCATGATATTTTAAATTTATGACCAGCATGTGTATGTATGTTTCTGTTCAGTGCCCTGAGACGACTTCTGTTGTGACTTGGTG